AAAATTAATCTAATTTAATTTTTTTTAAAAAGTACCATATCCTAAAAACTAAAAAAGGTAAAATGACAAGGTCTCATCCAAAAGAAAATACCCATAAAGTTATATAAATTATTTTAAAACATTTAAATGGAAATTCTGATGCTAAAAAACACAATAACAAAAATGAAAAAAATTCACTAGAGGAACCCAACATTTAATATAAACTGACAGGAACAGGAACAACGAACTTGACGATAAAACAACAGAAAGAAAATAATGGCTGAAAACTACCCAACAATGATGAAAAAAATTATTCTACACATGCATGAAGCTTACAAAATTCCAAATAGTATACACACAGAGATTCACAAACAGACACATCACAGTAAAAATGTTGAAAACCAAAAAACAAGGAGAAATTATTTGAAACACCAAGAGAGAAATGACTCATTACTTACAAAAGTAAGATTAACAACTGACTTTTCTTTAGAAACAATGGAGGCTGGATACAGTGATATAACATATTCAAAGTGCTCAAAGGAAAAAACACTTGACAAGGTAGAGTCCTATATCCCGTAAAGCTATCATTTAAAAATGAATAAAATGAGTGACATCAGCAAAATAGCAAAGTATGCAGTGTCAAGCACTCTTGCCCTGGCAGAAACATCATAAAATAAGAATAAACTGTCAGAACCAATGTTAGAAAAACCCTAAAACCCACTTAAAGGTTTATTGCAACCAAGCAAATGTTGAACCAAGAAAAAAGCAACTTGAAAATGGGATAAAAGATTTAAAGAGTTTTTATTTGCCCCCTCCACCTCCCCAACCCATCACCAGCACATTAGCCATGTTAAAACCAGGCAATCTTAAAGCACTGGAATTCTTCTAGTGGCAGAAATCCATTCATGTTCCAAGTAGGGAATCCTGGATGCTGGTTTGGGAGGGAGCAAAACATACTCTAATAGCAAATTATTGTGTGTATCTGTTCTAACTTTTCTGGGGGCTACCTGAAGGAATGAGGTGAGGTGATTATCTCTGTTTGACCTAACAGGGAACACAGAAAGGAAAAGTAGGGGATATGGCTCAAAAATGCAAGATAAATTAACAAACCACAGATCCTTGTGGGCAATATATACAATAAAATGCCCAAGGTATGGGAGCAAAAACTGTAGAAGATTCTTTGGGTAATTAGAACATTAAAAAATACCTGTGCATACAAAGAGTTTAGAAAGCCATACACATGATAAGGGAAAGATGAATGGTCAGAGAAGATCCTATGTTTACACCTTGAACTGAACTCTAGGCTCAGTACAAATCTGGATAAGTATTGAATAAGGATCCCAGCACAGAGCCCGGGAAAGAAATCTGTTTCATTTCTGTGTGTACATCTGGGGGTTTTGTTTGCTAGCTTTAGTTCCTGGCATTCAAGGAAACTTCTGTCATTATATGAGCTAAGTAAAAGCTAAAGGATACAGATTTCAATGACCACATAAAACAAAAAATAAAGTCTTTGAAAGATAATCTAAACAA